CTTTCCCTCATCCTCACACTGGGAGCCCTTAAATGTTAAAGAGACAGTCTCCTTTCCTGCCCTCCCCTGCTGAGAATGAGCCTTAAGCAGAAGCTTAGTCTGTGTTGAGATCATACGAAGTTTACTTGTTTCAAAGTTTATTTTAGGGAAAAATGGGTGTTCTCTACAACATTGTCTCTAAACATCTAGGTTATGCATTTGTGCGTTGTTTCTCGTAAGAATGATTTTCTAAAATGTGCTTCTCAATGGAATTTTCCATTAGTGACAAGGCTTGAAATATGAGAGCAATTCTAAGCATCAGAATTTGTGGTGTATTCTTTATTTGACTAATAGTGGGGGAAGACATATGGGGAAGCAGTGTCTCAAAGCAAATTACATTATGTGCCCTCAGTTTCCAGTAGTTTGGTTTTTTTAATTCCAGAGAATGTCTAATTCTCATTAAAACAAAACAAAAAAAAAAAAGAGGGAAATTTCTCTCATCTAAGCAGGACTATCATCTGGTAAAGGTAGGTGGCGGGGTAGTTTGACTTCCTCGTTGTCTACTAGAAGTTAACAGTAGCTAGCTCAATACTTAACTTTACAATTTTCTTTTCTGTCAGATTTGATGGTGGAGTTCATTGTAACACACATGATGAAGGAATTTCCTATGGATCTCTATGTGTAAGTGTCTGTGGGGTGACTTGTGATTTTGTTTGAAGTTTGAATTTGGGTGGAATTCTAGTCATAGAGCAATCTTCAAGCTGAAATAACACTTTGTAGCCGGTGGGGAGCAGAATGGCTTTTCATGAACTCTTCCAGCAACTTTTTCTACTTCTAAAATGCTCTGTGTGCCAGAAAATTGAAAGCAAAATGAATTTCCACCTTTTAGACAGATTTCCTAATCTACTTGATCAAATACAAAGAGCTTTTCAATCTGAAAGAAGTCTCATAATACACAGTCATTGGAAGAATCCCTACTTCCAGAAGCTGAATCTTGGTCTAGAAACTGAAAAGACAGTTTTGAAAAACCAAGGACGACTGACGTGAGGCCTGGAAGGCAGTGTGGAGTGTGGGAGAGAGGTTTAAGCCTGAAATAGCCTGCCAGGCAGCAAGGGGTAAAACTTAGCAATAGGGAAAAGGAGAGAAGAGAACAGGGCTACACATGAGCACTCCATGTGTCCCAGGAGGCCCCTAGAATGCTTTGTCCTGCTTTAGCCTGGAGGACAGAAATAGGATTTAGGCAGATCATTGGCTTTGCTCTGACTGTACAGTACTGAATTTCCCCAAGGCTTGAACAGCGCTGTATTCTGTAGAAGAGATAAAGATACACAGGCTGTTTTCCCTTAAGGTAACTTTTCAGCATGTTCTGATATTGCCCAAAGAACCCTGCAACTACAGTGCCTTTGCAAGGGTTGTACACTTCAGTTATGAGTTTGTGAGAAATGTTTTTTAATGACAATTACAGAATTAGTTGTAGTTGGAATTTCACAAGAAAAGTGTGAAATGCTAGGGCTCAAAAGTAAGGTCACATCTAGAAACCCCATGAGAGTAAAAATAATGAGCAGTAGCAGGCGTCAGTGGACATCTGTATCCATTCATTTTGGCACGTTTGCGCAGTCCTTTCACTACACTCCTGCCTGAAACCATCCCATAGCAGACACAGTTATTGCAGACAAAGTGGGTGTTCTGAATGCACAAATAGTGTCATACTTCTCTGCAGTACATTTAAAAGGTGACAATGTGAAGCTCAAGGGAGGGCATATTAATTTTTAAAAGAGAAATCCTGGTTGCTTTGACCAAGGGTGTGTTTTGTCCATTATGTGTATTATGAACCCTCAGCACAGAGCTAAAAAACAAACACACCCCACCAGGATGGATAACTTCATAGCTAAAGCAGTTTAATAACTAAAGCAGTGTGGTTTGGGAGTCTACAGGCTGGTAGCTGGTGCTCTGGCTCTTTAGGCAGGGTGCTAGGACTGTTATGCCCCTCCTCATCCCTTTTCTTCCATGTGTTGATTTCACCCAGAAAGCTATATGCTAGCGTATACAACTGCAAGGGTTCAATGCTGAGATCTGTCTGCAGAGTATTTTAAGTTAACAGCTATGGTAATTGTAAAGAAATGTTTTAGCCATTGCCAGATTGTCTCTGCTCAGTGCCTTAAATAATGGTGTGGAGTTTTTCGGGGTTTTTTTTGGTAGAGGCCAATTTTAGTCTTACAGCCAAGCAGATACGTGGGTAGAAAGATACTGGGCATTGTCTGGTACCAGTAACATCAGAAATAGCAGGTCTCTCCCTAGAGCGATTGCTGTTCCTGATCTGCAGACAGCTGTCTGTATCCTAGCTGGTTTGCTTCCTTTTCTTCGTTGAATTTGTGAGAATCCAAGTTGAAATACAGCACTTAATGTGATGTTCAGCTATTATAAATGGTTTTATCTTTATTAGTCTAAAGTTAGTTTCAGTCTTTACCCCACTGTGGTATTTTTGGGGTCATCTAAGTGTCTGAAAAGAATAATGTATACCTTCTGCATGTTAGTTCTTCAGGCTTTTTCAAGCCTTATTTTGAACTCTTCACCCCATTTTGAGTAACTTACATGCACATTTTTTAATTTGATTTCTCTGTGTTTGTCTGATATGTAGTGTCTTTCAGTAGTGTCTTTTCAGAGAGATGTTGATAATAATGAGATAATGTGTTTTTGAGAAATAGGGATTTGGGGAAAAAGAATTTTTCCTTTTTGAAGTCTTCCTTCTGTTTTTTCTAAATGTCAATAACTAAAAATAGCTTGGTCTAACAAATTCAAATTTGTATATATATTCTGTCTTGTCCTTAATGATAGCTAGTGCTAGAGAATTTACTCATTATATTATATATTTAGTTCTGATGTTATTTGTGAAGAATGTGGACTGAAGAGTTTGTATGAACACTAGATGCTAGAGAGACCTATAGGATTTGGAGACTTCACAAGTATACTAGCTGTATGTTGGGGGATTTCAGAGCTTGTAGGTGTATTGCTTGATCATTCTAAAGCTCATACTTGAATTATTTGTTTAAGGAGACTGGAAAATTTGACAGAAATCTCTTTTATATAATTAAACTGCATGCCTCAGTCAAACTAAAAATCCTGCAGTTTGTTTGACTCTCCATTTCCTTTAGCCTCATCATTTGGGCCAAAGAAACTGAAAAGCTCCACTGTGTCCAGATTTTACAAAATCTGAGCTCAGTATCTCATACATATAGATCCTGCAAGTTAAGTAACTCCTTTTGTAGAGCATATGAGGTCCTCAGGTAAGGGCAGCAAAGAGTGGAAAGTGTTAATTAAATACAGACAGCAAACTTGCGTCTGTAATCAGTCCAGTCATGTTGAGCTAAAACTGGCATACAGGCCCCTTTTTCTCGTCTTGTCTGGCTCTTTCTTGTGGGTGTTGCTTCCCTTTAGGAGCCCAAAACCATGAGCCCCATCCTCCTCTGTAAGGCTGAGTTTGTCTATTTCCCTGCTGCTGATTTCCATGTTCAATGTAAATTGCTGGGAAATGCGTTGTAATTAATCCTTTGCCCTCTCTTTTCCAGACGGTGCATTCAGATTGTGCACAAGCTGCTGTGCTACCAGAAGAAATGCAGAGTGAGGCTTCATTACACCTGGAGGGAGCTCTGGTCAGGTACTTCGCATCTGCAGAGACAGTCAAATACGAAAAGCCCAGAGTGGGTGGCTTTTTGGTGGCCATGACTGCTTATGACTGCTTGTTCCATTGCTACAGGATTGAACAGCAAGCAGCAATTCTGTTAAAGCATCTTTATTTTTCTTCTTAGTTGCTGCATGCAAATTACCTCTTTTGGAAAGCCAGGTCATTATCATAATGGTAGCTAATTTACTTTCTTGTCTGGCCACGATCACCATGGTATCCAAGTGTCTGTTTTTCTGTTTCATTACCTGAGTTCCTCTTCACCTGATTGCAGAAATGGAGTAATGTTTTATGCAGTAGTGTTTCTCTCTCAGATATTTGTGAGTAGAAAGAAGGTAGGCTCTTGGGTAAAAAGAGGTGGACCTTACTTTTCCTTTTTACTCTAAGAGATGCATACACATAGAATAGTGTGTGGAGCTCCTGAAGAGAGCAACCTAGAAATGTCAGTGGGAGGGGAGAGAGGCTTTTAACTCTGACCTTTGGATTGATGGCAGATAGTCTTGTTCATGCCACTAGTATCCTGAGATAGATAAGTGTTACGGGGTTTGACTTGTTTCTCATAATCTAGTGGATGTAGCCTTGTAGGACTGTTTTATGATGCCATCATTGTGTGGGAGGTCTGAGGAAGGGGGAAGCAGAAGGATGATGAGACCTAACAGGCTTCTTTCATGGATATGGTGTGTGCTTCCATTCTTATTTTGCAAGCAGTGAAGTAGCTCAGCTAGGAAAGTACAGTTAATCCCCTAGCTGTTGTGGCTTAAACAAGAGATTTACGAAAATTCAAGGGAATGTGGCCCTAATTGTGTATTCCTGGAGCTGTGCTTAAGACCTAGGATCAGCATCTTGGCTGGTGTAATGCAGCTCCCATCAGAAATTTGAGAGAGGATGACTTTTGAAAAAGGCGGTGATGAGTGGTTTGTGAAGCTGTTCTCAATTAACACTGAGTACTTCCCTTCAGTAGCTTTGCACAGCTGAGTGTAGGTACAGAGAAATGAACCAACAACCTGAGTCACTTTCAGTTATTAAATTTTCACCTTGTGTGACATGTGGCCCATTCAGAGTTTCTAAATTATTCCTGTAGAAGGTGAAGTGGGTGCCCCTAATTAAGGGATTAGCTATTTCTTTTTGGCTGTTTTCTTCAGAACAGAGCCCCTAGAGGCATGGCTGCAGCATTGTGCTGGTTCAGGAGAAGAGCGTGTACAATGTGGATGTCTGTTGTGAATAGAAATTGCATCTGACAGTCTGTGTCGTATCTTCTCAGTAGTTACCAGTGAACTGGTTCCATTCCTATTTGGCCAGGCTGAGCTGGGTCTTTCCTACACACTGGCTGCATGGAAATGTCAAATATAATGCCTTCTGCTTGAAGGTATGGTTCCACAGTTCAGAGAGCACGCTCTTAGGCATCTTTCAATTTTTAACTCCCCCTATTTTAGCGGGGAAAAATAAAAATCCTTGCTAGGCACTGAGATTCAGTATCTTGGGATATTCTTGTTAGCTGTCTCTAATTACCTGGTGTTTGTATAGTGCTTCAGAAATGTAAAGTGCCTCAGAAGTGTTAAGTACTGCACATGCTTTGAAAGCAAAGCAGTGAAGTAAAAAGAACTCAGATTGGTCAGGTTTCTGTAAAGGACTGGGAATGTCTGCACACCTGATGTAGCTGAAGAGCTCCATGCTTACTATAGAATTCTGCATGTTTAGGGAGATCCTCTCATGCAGGAGTAAATTGTTTCAAATTTTTTCTTATAGGATGTTGAGGTGACTAGAGAGATTCTTTGGTAGCTCCTAGGTGATTTGTACAGGCTGGAAAGACCCTGGGTTGAATGGTACGTGAACCTGTAAAAGGGCACATCCTAGCTGCTCCAGGTGTGTACTTCTAGAGTGCTGTATGTGGCAGACTAAATGCTAATTGCCAGCCCTATCTTGAGATATATCTAATAATTAACTCTTATCCCTGTCAAGGCTGCTCTTCGATTGGCAAGAATGCTGCTGCCTTTGGTGTGAAAGAATGGCTATTTTTATGGTCTTGATCTATCTGACAGATGATTCCAAACCAGAGTACAGGGACTTCTGCATTCATTTCTGTCCTTTATGTGAGCGTATCCCCCTTCAGGCTTTTGTTTTGGATCGAAGAATTAGTTACCACTGCTGGATGAACAGTTAAAATGGAGCAGCTATTCACTGTAAGGTCTGAGATCTCAGGTTGTCCCATCAGGTGTGCTTTACAGAAGGTCTTCAAGCCCACACTTGTCATCTTGAATGACAAAGTGTGTGATGACTGAAGCAATGCCCCTGTCGTGCAGCATGGATAATAGCAGTGGAAGGCCCCCAACAGAGCTGAGTGGAACAAAGAAGCTGGAGGGAATTGGTGTAAGGAAGTGTTGAAAGAAAGGGAGAGAATTCTACCTGGTACATAAAAGGAGGAGAGTTGTTTCAGGCAGAAGATTGAGTAGGAGAAGACAACAAAGGGAATACTGTGGGGTAGGTGGTCGGTATAGGGTGCGGAGGAACAGAGATAAGGTTGTAGGTGGAAGCTGTAGCAATGTATGGAGCCTTCTGTTCATTTGCCAATTCTAATGTTAGCTAGTCTCAAATTAAGGAAAACCACTCATGTGTCATCTGATGGGTAGATGCTCTTCCTTTATGGGTGCTTTGTCTGCAGTATGGAGGGCCAGCAGCACTTTGAGAAAGTTTCTGCATTTCATTTTTTGATTTTAAGTTGCAGTGATTGCAGAGAAAAGCAGTGGAGCCAGGTGTTTGGCATCTCTCAGGGCACATATCAGGTTGCTTGTGCAGTCTATAATACTTTATAGTTTTTTGGATATGTCACTATGTGGCACATTGCTTACATACGATCTTACTTCTGTTGGACTTCCTTTTCCAACATCTGAGCTTGAGGAAGAGCAATATTGTTACTGAGTCTTTGGTTGTGATCCAGCCTTAGCTTTCCTGTTAGATGAATTCTTTCATATTAAGTCAAAGGGCCAGGACCACTCAATACCGTGTAAATCTCTAGCTGTGCTGACCAGATGGCCAAAAACGTTTAGCTGACAGAGAATGATGCAGCAGTTTGAGAACTGGAAGCAGGACTGACAGAAAGGAAGATCTCTAGGTGGCAAAAGTAGTATATATAAGATGGCTCTAGCTAAAAGTAGTGTGAAAATGAGTATCAGATCACTAGTGGAGCTAGATTCTGGAATATCCTAAAGAGAGTACTGGAGAGCGAAAAGCAGTTGTAATTTGATTAGCCTATGAAAATGATTACCAAGTGCAGTTACTGATAAGTGGACCAGACATTCAGACCCAGAGATGCCTGTTGATCTTGGTTCGTCTTTAATAGACCTTTTCAGCAGATTATTAGCTTCAGTTCAATCATTTGTGGTTAGTATGTGGCTCTTCCCTTTGAGCACTGAAGAAAATATTTAGGTTTTTCTTCCATGACAGTGTACTAGTACTAGGTGACTAGCCTGGAAATTTGGGCAAGGTCAGAAACCATAAGTAGATATGATTGTGTTGACCTGTTCTGTTACAGACATTTTGGCCAATTGGAAATCTCTTGGACTGTTATGCCAGGTACCTTATACTTTTTAAATGCTGATTTATTGAATGTCAAATGTAAGGTACTTTATAGAGCTGATAAGGAAACTTTACTTGGTAACAACCAGTTCCCTGCTCTCAGAAATAGTACATGATGCCCAGTGTTTGTCTTAAGTTCAGCTCTTTGTCATGTGAAAATCAGGTTGATTTTGCGGTCATAAAGGCGGGGTTTGGGTTTTCATTGTTGAACTCTTGGCTAGTTTGTACAGTGCTTGAGTGATGGAAGGTGCTATATATGTTGTTGTTGTCAAGCATGTATAAGTTATGCCAAAAGAGTTTTCATGAGTCATTTAAGCTTTTTATATAAAAAGACCTAATTGCTTCAACTCCTCCCACCTCAAAATTACTAATGCTTGAGCAATTCACTCTGAGCTTAGGGGGTGCAGGTAACTTCATTGCAGTTGCTATGGTTTGCTTTAAGCAAAAGCCATTTTTTAAAGAAACAGAAAAGCAATTCTAATATAGACTTATAATAGCAAGAGTAGGTCATAAAAATCTTAAATATAATAATAATGGTGACATAGCTATTTATTAGGGCAATTGAATGCAAAGTAGGATTAAAAATTAGATTTACCATTAGTAAGCGCTGAAGATCAGTTTCCAAATTATTGTAACATAAGGGCTATAGTTTCTTATCTTGAGGCTTAGTTAATTTGATAGATGCTGAATACACTGTTAAAATCAAGGTGCTTCAAATGTGTAACACTCTCAAGAAGTTGATTTTTCTCTGTTTTTATTTTAGGATTATCAAAACAGACTTTTGCAATGCTACTGTACAAAATATACCAAAATATACTTTCTTCCTTTTTGTAGACTCCTTAGATCTTTTTGTCAGTTTCTGTATTTATAACATGAGGATAATATTGCTTTCAAAATCTTTTTGGGTGAATACTAAAGAGGTGAAAGGTTCTTTTGTGGAACATTTTAAAATAAAGAAGCAATATTTTGAGAGGGAGAAAAAAAACCACGTTCAGTATGTATAACACACTTGCCCTTATACAATGCATGTTTAAGGTGGTATTGTTTAGTCACTTGTATTTTGCTTTGTTATTTCTTTGGCTGAAATATTGGTTACTGATAGTATTTGTTACCTACATCATTCCTGGTTCTCCAACTGTTGATCAGGTCTGTTTCAGACTTGTGTTGCTGAACAGATTGGAAATCAGGTGATGTTGTGTCTCCCCTTCATCTCTAATCCCGCTGTCACTGTCACATTCTGTAGCAGCTACCTGGCAAGGGAAGCTTGTCTTCTTGCAGCTCTTGTGGAAGCCGGATTCGTATGCTGGTGTACCAGACAGCCTAGTTCACTGGTAAAATGCCTGATCACTAGGTGATCACTGCTTGGCCAGTTAGCAAATGACTTAAAGATTTTTACGGAAAAG